AAGGGAAGGGAAGGGAAGGGAAGGGAAGGGAAGGGAAGGGAAGGAAAGGAAAGGAAAGGAAAGGAAAGGAAAGGAAAGGAAAGGAAAGGAAGACAACAATAATAAAATATACCAAGTGAGGTAACCTATACCTGTAATCTCAGCACAAGAAGGAGGGTCATTAGTTGCATGCCAGTTTGGCTACAGACACTGTCTTCACCAACAGCAAAAATAAGCAAACAAGCAAACAGGCAGAGTTTAACATATGTGTTAAGCTTGGTGGGGGTAAAAATATATATAGAAAAAGGCTTAAAGTCACAATCCTCGAAATGTAGGCGTGACGGCATATATCTGTATATATGGCATATATCTGTATATATATATATATATATATATATATATATATATATATATACAGATATATGCCATATATACAGATATATGCCGTCACGCCTACATTTCGAGGATTGTGACTTTAAGCCTTTTTCTATATATATTTTTACCCCCACCAAGCTTAACACATATGTTAAACTCTGCCTCTGCTTATCTGAATCTGTGCTTTCTTAGTTCCCTTGTAAATCAGAAACATTTGACAGTGGGATCCACATTCTATTCATCTTTGTTTTGGCATGGTGAGTCTGCCACGGCAATGAAAAATAGAGAAATAAAAACAGTGATATTATGCATCCATTCCAATTGCTGCTGAGAACTTATAGCTGGGATGTGCGGTATGCAGAGCAGGATAGCAAACACCCAAAGCTCCCATTCCAGGGATCCTACGATCAAGCCCATGTTCAGAGGTTTCAGCAGAACTCAGTCCTGGGAGACAGTTGCACACATGGCAATCATCTATTACAGCCACCAGCTAGAGAAAAAGACCCCAGGGGTGAAGCCTGGAGCAGCTCATGCATGAGCTTTGGATTTTCTCTTAGTGATGACCCCAATGAACATAATCCTTCCTTAGCTGACATGGGTATGCAGTACTTATGCCCAAGATAGCCTACTCAAGAGTCAGTCAAGAGATGTATTTTAGCCTTATCTGTCAAATTGGCAGGATCTCTGAAGAAAAGTCCATGCTCAATACCAAACAAGTAAAGTAACTTTATCAGCTTCACAAAAATTCTACAAGCTTCATTCCCACATGCTTCCCAAAGGTCAAACCTACTGCCATATCCTGTAACCCTGGCACTTCCAGACATGCTCTGTGGAGCCTTTTCTATGGAGAACTACACATACTCTCTGTTGAAATGCTCCACTGCCACACAATACAGCTGCAAGCACAAAGGGCTAGAAGTTCAGTCCATGTGTCTGCTTCCCCATACAATGCAATCAATATTAGATTCTTCATTTCATGTAATTTTCATATGTCTCAAATTATTCTTCTTTGACATCCTTCCTCCATTATTAAAATACATCAAATCCTTTCTTAGATTGGGAGCAATAGGAAAGCAGCATCCATACTTAGCCTACAAGGTGTAGTTTGCCAATGCTCACACAGCCTGCCCTGAAATTTCCTTTCTTTTTCCCATTTTGGGAAATATTTATGAATAAATAGTTTTATATGAGGGCTGGCAGCTGCAGCCTCTCCTATCCTCCCAATAGTCAGTGGGCAGGAGTGGGGTTCTGCTGGCGGGGGCAGAACTGGGAATTGCACCGCAGCCTACCTTCATCTGTCTCTTCCACTTCTGCCTGACCTTGCTGGGATGCTCAGCCTTGTACCAGGCAAGCAGGGCCTCTGCTGGAACCCTGTCAGCTGCTTCCCGCTGACATCCTCACCCAGGTGCTGTACTAGAGAAGGTGGTTCTTCACGCCTTTATTTCTGATGCTGCTCCTCTGTAGAAGGACAGCTTTCACTGCTGTGCCTTTTCTTTCCCAGGTGCTTCTGCATCTCCGTCAAGGGGTCCAACCGGCTCTTGATCGTCTCATAGGAGCTTGGGCCTGGAGGGCAGTCGCCTTGCCCTGGGGAGAGCTGGTACCAAGGAGGTTGAGTTTGGGCCTCTGCTGCACTCTGGACCAAGTATGTCAGTATGCCTAGTGCTTTCTCTTGCCTCTCCTTCTCCTGTAGCTTCTCTTCTTCATGTTCTTTATTGCCTCTAGGCACTCCTTTCCCTTCTTTCAGCAGCTCCCTAAAATGGGTCCACAGGGCCAGAACTTGGAGCTCCTGCATCTGCTGCTTCCAGCTTAAGCAGTGAGTTCTGGCTCCTGGAATTCTGTTCGGGCCTCTTGCTGAGTGAGCAGCACCCTCAGCTCACACTCCTTCTCCTCCTCCCAGGCCTGGCCTCATCGCACTGCACATGGGCAACATTGTTCTTGTTTTGGCCATGCCAGCTCTTCTTGGGCAAGATATTCATGGTTCCATAGCTGACCTCTGACCAGCAGACCCACTCTCACCTTGTGATTTCTTAGTCCCAGTTACTCTCCCCTGTTTTGACTGTCTTTGAAAGAATTCACACTGCCACTGTTTCCCTAGTGATTTTTTTAAAGGTCACAATTCTTCATTTCATCACTCAATCACATTTACACTATAGCTGCCACATGGTACGCAGACAAGATGTTTCTGCTAAAACTTGGGAATATGGATGGCTTTGTGGGTCATAGCACTTTGTGCATAAACAGGAGGACTATGGTTCAGATACCCAACACCCACACAAAATACTATGCATGGCCTTCGTAAACACAGTGCTCAGGGAGAACAGAGATAGGAGGCTTGCTGGGTCTTGCTGACTGCAATTCTAGCCAAAACAGCAAGATCCAGGTTCTCAAGACAATAAGGTTGAACATGGTAGTGCAGGACATCATATATCCTCCTCCAGCTTCCAGGCTGCACACATATATGTATATACGCCACACTAACACACACACACACACACACACACACACACACACACACACATATGCACTTGTGTTAAATGTGCCGAGCACTCTAATCCAAAATCTAAAACAAAATGCTGATAAAATCCCAGAAGTGGGGAATTCTATACAACAAAGTTGTTTCATGCAAAACAAAATTACTAAGAAAAAATGAACTAAATCATCTTCAGGCTATATGTATAAAATATATGTAAACAATTTTGTATCTGGGTCTATTCAGAATATTTTTAAACTACGAAATATTCCTGGCTCCAAATATTTTGAATAAGTGATACTCAAAGTGTGACACAAATGTTGAGGTCAGAGACAGGTGAACCCCTAATCTCACTGGCCAGCCTAGCCAATCAGTAGGAGTTCAGTGAGAGACCCTCTCAAAAAGGAAAAAAGATATAGAGTAATATTGGAAAATACATGATATTGGTTGGCATAGGGCCTCAACACACACAGGCATACAAGAGAACATAGATACTACAAACACAAGAATGAAAGGTAAACCTCAAAGGACTATCTGTAAATATCTATGACTCAAAGTATTTAAGTATGTATGATATGCATGTAGGTGTGTGTGCCCATGTGTGCACATGGCCTAAGACCAGCCTTGGGTGTGGTTCCTCAAGAATGGTCCACTTACATTCTTAGAGACAAGAGTCCCTCAATGGTCTGCAGTGTGTAAGTCTGGATTTGCAACTTGTCAGCCTACTTGGCTTTTTAAGTAGATTCTGGGAATTGATCTCATGTCTTTAAGCATACATGGCAGGCACTTTACCAATTCATCTATCTCCTGGAACCATCAAAGAATTTTTAAATTAGCTATAAACCTTACTTTTTAATACTTCCTTGCAATCACATAACTGAAAAGAATGCTTATTTTTCAGGACAGACACACAGACTGTAATGATTTCTTTTTATTTGACTAGTTAAAAATACTTAAAGGCAAAATTATTTAACAAGAATACTTAATGAAATATTACATCTTTATTTTTCTTTCTTTTTAGAGAGGGTAGGGTGAAGAGCATGTTATGTTTCAACAGTTTAAGAAAGTTCTATGAAGAAAGATCATTTCCTAAAGAAAAGTAACTTGATGACACATTCTTAAGGTAAATAGAAAATATGCCAAATGATAGTAAAAACAGCTCTGAAGAAAATATTTTATCAAGTATGCTGTATAATAATGTGTTGGAAAGGAACTCTGCAAAACTGGCTAAAGTCATCTATGATCTATATAATTCCATGTGACAGTTGAGTTGGAGATCAAAGAAGGGACTACACATTGTTCTTTCAACTCATATATAAATATGAGAACACAGAACACATCCCATCACTTCCTGAGATATTGAAGAGTTGCTGTGCTTCTGCTGTGAATATTACATGAACAGAGGCTAGCTTACAAATTGTACTAGACTATGAGCTTTGCAGATGAATGCAACTGTAACAGATTCAAAATGAAGTAAACGAAGTATGCCCTGGGATTATACTCTGGCTAATGGGATTAGGACAGTGGTAGAGAAGGAAGGAAATAATAAATATCATTTCCTAGACAAGAAGGTTTGTTTCTGGCTTTTGTGTTTTGTTTTTGTTTGTTTGCTTGTTTGTTTTGTGTTGTTATGTTTTATTTTAGTTTTTTGAAACAGGGTTTCTCTGTGTATTCCAAGCTTTCCTGGAACTCACCCTGCTTCCTGAGTGCTGGGACTAAAGGAATGTACCACCCCACTTTTAATGAGTCATTGAATCCCTAAGCGTGTACATATGAGTTTCAAAGATTCTGTGATCTACATCAAAATACAAAGAAATATTTTTAATTTCATTGTTATAGGACGATGGGAAAGAGAGGGGAAAGGGTTTGCAGCAATCCTCAAAAAAAAGCAAAAAATAAACAAAAGTAATTTTTTTTTTAAAAAAATCACTAACTGAAATGGTACCAATGCATGTAGGCATATAAACAATAAGGTGTTGAGGAGATGACATCAGTGATGCACGTAGATAAACCAGGTGAACTAAATTACCTGGGAAGGTGACATACTTCCTCCAACAAAGCCACAAATCTTATAGTGCCACTCCCTTTTGGGGCCATTTTCTTTCAAACCACACTTTCCCATCAGGATGAGCTGTAGCTTGTGAAACTAGGAGATAAAACTCCCTTCAGCTTCCCCTCCTCCCTTCAGCTGTTTCTGTTAGGTATTTTGTCACAGTGAAGAGAAAGGTGACTTCAGTGTTAACCCAAAATGCCTAGCAGGTGCTAATAACTGCCTAGGAAGCCTAGGTAGGATGTGTGTCCCGGAGAATATACACACAAATTGGTGGTGGAGTTGGAAACCTCCAGTGGCCTGTGACCAGCAAGAGAATAGCTGACCACTCTCTCCTACCTTTGTATTCATCATTATAGTTTATCTTCCTTCATATCCTAAGGACAAAAAAAAAAAAGGAAGAGAGAGAGAGAGAGAGAGAGAGAGAGAGAGAGAAATAGCAGAATAGATGAAAATATGACATTAGGGAAAAGGCTAACACCAAAAGGTAATGCGATGAAAATATTTACAATTAATCATGTTTCTCTATACAAAAACCTAGCAAGAAAAATGTGAAGGTCAGTGACACGCAAACATCAAGGAAAGAGCAGTGTGCACAGTGTGCACCCTTTGCAACACGCCCCCTTCTTATCAGACTACTCTACTCTTGCCACCTCACACCCCTGGGGGTGACAGAAGGCTTTTATCAAAGTCAGAAGGGCTTTCTCGAATAGGAAGACACCACATAATTGAACAGTTTACATTTAACAAATCAGATCAGTGTCCTGATCTCATTCTGTGCAGAGGAGGTGAGGAAACATGAGAAAGGCTTCATATACATTTGCCAACTGGTCAGCTCAACTCAAACCCTCAGACTTAGACTCTTCTCCCTCAGCTCAGGTACCCAGGCTTCCCGTGTGAATTATATACAGACAAAAATTTCCATTCTCTTCAGGTCATAAAATTTCCATTTAATGTTTTGAAATCCTTAGTAGTAAAAGTAGTGTTTTGACAGGTTTAGACATGCATGGAGTCCAGCATATAGATAGAGATGCGTAAAACCAACACCAACATGAAGATACAGAAGCGTTCCCTCACTCCAACGTGCCACAGCCAACACAGCCTGTTAATAGTTATAGGGGCTGCCCTTTTTTGAGGCATTTCCAACCACAGGAAACCACTGACTACCTCTTTGCTAGCACGGTTTGGTTTGTGAGAGATTACCATATAGATACTTGACAGGCTTCCTCTCCAAAACGCTTTGAAGATCAATCTAGAGAGGGCAATAACACGAGCACTCATTCTAGTTTGTGGCTCAACAGGATTCAATTGGAAAGAAGGTAGCAGTTTACCCAATGATCCCACAAAGGACACAGGAGTGGTTTTCAGCTTGCTAAAATTAAGAAGGGAACTCTAGTAATTTTTTTAATGAAGCATTTCATATATGAGTACTATATTTACATCTCTCTCCCTCTCCTCCTTCCTTTGTCTCCCTTCCCCAGTTCCTTCTCAAATTCATGGTTTCTTATCCTCTATTATGGCTACATATATACTTAGACAAAAAATTATGAATTCAACCTGTTGAATCCCTTTAGAGTTGTTCATTATGTTCACGTATTTGGGGCTGCCATCTTGGTACTAGATAAACTAAGAAGGGAGATTGTCCCTGGGGAATACTGATTCTCCCTCTCTTAGAAGCTTGGTTGCCTGTAGCTTGTCTTACAGTGGTTGGGATATTGTGACATTCTCCCATGCACACTGGCTTGGTTTTTGTGTTGGGGGACAGTGGTTGTAGTTTAATTCTTCTCTCACACAATAAATACATCCTGACCACAGTTTCCACAACACCTACCAACACCTCCTTCCCCAGATCCACTCCTCCTCCATTTTTCTGAAAAAAGAGCAAGCCCACCAGGGATATCAACTGAACACAGCATAACAAGATGCAATAAGCCTAGGTATTAAGCCTCATATCAGGGCCAGGGGAGGAAAGCCAATGGAGGAAAATGATCCCAAGAGTTGGCAAAGAGTCAGAGACACCCCCATTCTTACTGGAGGAATCCCTCAAAAACTCCAACGTAACAAACATAACATATGTGCAATGGACTTAGCCCAAACCCCTGCACCATCTGCGTCCTCTGTGAGCCTCTACTGACCCCTGCTTAGCTGAATCTGTGGGTTGTGTTCTTCTTGTGTCTTGACCCCTCTGGCTCCCACTCTTGTGCAATGTTCCCCAAACCCCATCAAGGAGAAACCTGATGGAGATCTCCAATTTGGGCTCTCTCTGCTTAATGTTTGGCTGTGGGTCTCTGTATCTGCTCCCATCAGCTGTCAGAGGAATGTTTTTAATTGGTGTTGAGGTCTTATTAAGGCAGAACACTATAGAGATTTCATGAGTGCAGCTTCCCTGTCATATCTAGAGGACAATATCACAAAACAAGTTTTCTGATCCTCTGGCTCTTTTTGAGTCCTCTTTT